ATTACAGAAAAACTTACACATGACCTATTGTTAATTAGTATTTAGTGGCATATATTTAATCATATGTAATTAAACAAAACTGCTGAATGCTTCAGCATTTGTGTATTCCTCATTTAGAGCCTGCATGAATGTGTATCTGTATCTCATCTGGTTAAGTTATATTTTTCCAGTATTCTTTGCTTTACCTCATATGAAAGAAAATTTTTTACTCTTTTGAGCATTCCTACAGACACTTATTTGTCTAAAGTCCACATGAAACTCCAGCTGGCATCCATGTACCTCAAATTTTCAGAAGTATATTCTTCAGTTGTTTATTTGAGAACAGGACTCCTGTTACTCTTTTCTACTTCCTGAACCCTTAGGAAATTTTCATTTTCTCCAGCATCATGTGGCAGATTAGGAGCCGTAGAAACACACCAAGTCAGTTCCTATGCAAAAGGGTGCATATAGGAAATTTATCTCCTTTTGCATAGATAAATTTAAAAGGCAATAAAACTTTTAACCACACATCATACAATATTTGAAACAAGTAATAAGAGTACCCTCCTGGCTGTATACATCCGGACATATACATCCAGAGTATGTTCTCCTTCACCCCCGGGTATCTAGCAACTTAATCAACTTCAAAATCCAGACTATCTGTCATGCTTCATGTACAAGTGTTAATTTAGTATTGATCTGTAATATTTATTTTTAAATGAACTTTTCATCTATTTTACATCCCAAACATAATTTTGCTCCTTCTTCTCCTCTAATTCCCCATATCCTCCCACCAATCCAACCCTCCCCTGTTTCTGTTCTGAAAGAGATAGGGCTCAATTGGTTATCAACAACGGGTGGCATATCAAATTCATTAAGACTAAGAACCTCTGCTGGTATTAATGCTGGACAAGGCTTGGGGAATCCCTGACCTAGGCCCTCTATATGTGTATGACCATTTTCTTGATTGATCTAACTGTGGGATTCCTGGTAGTGGACCAAGGCCTGTCTCTAAGCCTCTCCCTGTCTTCCAGGAACCTGTTTCTCATTCTGGGTTGCCTTGCCCAGCCTTAATACAAGGGGATTAATGTTTCTAAATACATATATAGTTTTCATACATTTATATGAGCTTGTGTCATATTCATCCAAATTATCCTATCTCATTCTACTCTCCTGTTAAAACTGTACTTTCCAAGTCACTTTGCCACACTATCTGCCTTTTAGTTAAAATTACAACTATGTAATACATTACTTGTCATTTAAATAAGTTCCACCTCAGTATTTCTCAAACTCCTACTGTGAACACATCACTCGGTCTATAATTTATTAACACCTCATAAATAATTATTGTTATATCTATACACATAATACAAATTAAATATTGATAATATATACTATAACCCAATGAATCCATTTGTTTTTTCTAGCTCTCAAATATGCAGTGGAAAGACCGACAAAAATGGTAATACAGTTAGATATTATAATGTTTTATTGAAGTGGTTTTAAGGTCTCTAACTTCCGTGAACTATGAGTCCTGTGTTTTTTTTTTATGATTTACAATATTAGGCATGATTTATCTCTTTTAAGGAGGACTTTGGTTATGTTATGGAGATATTAGTTATTAATAATTATCTGAACCTCTAGTGTACATTTAGTGAGATCTAGCCGTGGTAGTCTGTAATTCAAAGGTACCATAACTAAATTGATTAATTGAATACCTTTCTTCCTTGAAAGATTTCCTAATTCATTTCTGGTTTCTGCAGGTTTCATGGATTTATGAGTACCTGTTCAAATTTATATAGATCTATAACAATAACTCAGCAATTGGGACTTAACTTCTGCTTCTTGGAAGTAGTAAAGAACAGTGATGATAGACTATACTCTTAGTAAACTCCTGAATCTCTCACCTCAAAATGTTCCTCAGTAAATCCCCATTTATAATTTTCTTAGGTCTATTGAAATCATTACAAGCTTGCCTTCACTCACCAACAATTTGAACAAAGATTCTTCTGACTCTTTCAGATGTTCTTAGGTAGCTGTGATCCCTAGTTGGCCAACTATCTTCCAAAGTGTGTTTTATTCCTGTAAACTATGCCTGAAAATCGTATGAATTGGATAATTTGGAGTGAATTTAAAGTAATAATTTTTTCATTTTTGCCAATGTTTATTGTCTCTACTTATTTACTTTGAAAATTTTCTTCTTGAATCCTTGCAGAACTCCTTTGCAGAAATGAAAATTTTAATTTTATTTTGTAATTCTCAAATTCGTCTTTTAAATTTTGAGTGGTATATTATTTTATACTCTGTCATCAATACACTTTTCCTTTTGATGTTTAAAAAAATTTGGTTCTCAGCCTGGCTGTCGTGGTACATATCTTTAATCCCAACACTCAGGAGCAGGGGCAGGCAGATCTATCTGAGTTTGTGGCCAGACAAGTCTACAATGTGATTTCCAGGACAGGCT